GGTTCGGGGATTGCCACCACGACAGGCACCGGAGACCTTACGGCCACAGCTCCGAATGGCCGCATCGACAATGGAGGTGGAGAATATGGTCCACTCGGACTCGATATCTCCAGCCTCCCTCGGGATCTGGTCAAAGCTCTGCCGGAGGCGGGAGTTGAAGATCTCTCTGACAGGGGATTCTGCTAAACGTTCCCAACAGACCCTCACAATACGTTTGGGTCTGCCGAGTCTGTCCAGCTTCCTCCCCCGCCATCGGATCCAGCTCACCACCAGGTGGTGATCAGTTGACAGCTCCGCCCCTCTCTTCACCCGAGTGTCCAAGACATATGGCCGGAGGTCAGATGAAACAACCACAAAGTCGATCATCGACCTCCGGCCTAGGGTGTCCTGGTGCCATGTGCACTGATGGACACCCTTATGCTTGAACATGGTGTTCGTTATGGACAAACTGTGACTAGCACAGAAGTCCAATAACAAAACACCACTCGGGTTCAGATCGGGGGGGCCGTTAAGTCCCATTGTGCATGTGTACCATAATAATGTGTGTGTTTTCAAACATTCTCTAGGTAAATAAAAGTTGAAATAATCTCACTTTAGGAGAAAACTTTAAAGAAGTTTGGGAGAGAATCAGCAAGTCCAGTAAACCTCCAACCATAACTATTCATTTGGAATTTATCAATCATCAGTGTTCAGGCAGACATAACAACAAGCTCTGTTATCCTGACATTTGTTAAAAGCTGCTTGTCCCTAGCTTTTGCCTTAGGAATGATCCAATAAGATAGTAATAAGCATGCACTGAAAACTGCTGCAAGGATGGATGAGAACAGATGAATGAATGTCTTTGAATTTATAACAATATGTATGCAACAGCCTTGAATATTTATATTTTTGAACTAGACCTAAAGATAATCAGTGTTTTAGTGTATAGATATTTCATAACTTTCTCTTGAATATAATAAGAGAAAGCCTGAGACAGTAGGTAACTCTATGTTGCAACACAAAATAATAATATTGGTATACTGTACAAACATTAGTAAAATTAACAGACAATAAATATAACAGTACCTTGCTCACCTCCCACTCATTCTGTCGCTTCTTCAGCTGTTCACATTTTCGGAGTTTGCAGATCTGCTTGCCCGTCTTGCGGTTCAGACAGTTTGTGCAGGTACCACAGTTCTCTTTGCGAAGGCAGGGACTGCAGGCACCACATTTCTTCCTCCTTTTCTTCTGGAAGTCAACACATGCGTCCAGGGAGTCATTGCTGGGAGACATAGAGAAGAGCCCCGCTTGCTGGTGTTCGGTCTCTATATATTTGCTCAGAGGAGATGTCTTCTCTAAGGATTTCCTGTGCAAGTGGAGACTCTGAGCTTCCTCTGCATCCACGGAGAAATCGTAAATATTCTCAGGTGGTGGACTAGGCCTTGCCTTTGGCCTGGGCATGGTGACAATCCTGCCTTAAGCCTATTCTGTTACTTAAAAACAAAGATAAATACAGTTGTTTAAAATCAACATCAGATACCATCTAAATGTACCATGAAAACTTGGTTCAGTAGTCTGGCTCCAGTTTGACAGCTAAAGAACTTGTGTTGGACTAGTCTTTGCTGTTGACTTTTTTCTGTCTAGATAATAAACTAGCTTGAGAAAGCCTTAATCCCCCTAACTCTGTGGGCTTTTGCTAAAAAGGTTATTTTCACATTCATCTTGTCTTCTGGTCTGAGCTCTTTAGGTACAGCTAGGGTTCTTGGTAAACTGGTGGCCCGGGAGAATCCAGTATGGAGACCATCTTTCCCAACTACCCTGAGGAATGGTTGGCAGTCCGCCACAATGTGGGCTCCGTAACTGGAACCTGGGGAGCCATGGCTATGTCTGGCCTGGGTAGGATGGTCTGGAAGTGTGCAAAGAGGGAAAAACAAAACATTTCAAATTAGTATTAGAATGCCAAGAAGAAGAGCATTTATACATATTTGTTTTCTGTGTTTACAAGGGGAACATTGAATGTTTATGTGTTTGAAACATGGACTGGCCAACAGACAGGGTATTGTAAGTGTCAGTTATAGCCAGTCCAATGAGGTCAATTAAGAAACAAAGACAAAGCAAATGTTTTATAAAGGTGTTACAAAGCCATTAGCTTAAAAAAAGCATGCAATGATACTTATGGCAATGCAATTTATAGCAGTTAATAATTTATCAGGATTTAGTTTTGGATTGTCTGACATTAAATGACGTTTGCTCTACATTAGAGTTCAGTCTGGATACTGTCTGGTTTCCAAACACAACTGTCAGTGCTCTGTGTCCAATTGACTCAGAGCCACACAGGCCTACAGAGCAGTTTGTTTTAATGGAAGACTCCACATGGAATGGGGGGTTATGCATCCCTAAATGAAAGACGGGGGTGATAAGTTGATGCCAGGGACAGTCCTCTTTGTCTTGTGGTGGCAAGCTCCAGTCAACCGTCAATAAAGTGAATTGTGCTGAGAAAACCCAGTGTTTCTTTGCCTCTTGCATGGTTTCACAGCCTGCTAAATGCAGGGTGTTTTTTTGTTTTACAAATTAACACCAAGGTAGTGTTGGGCTGTTATTTAAATACAGTTTAGGCTACTTTAATTTTTTCCCAGTGGACTTGCATATTACATTGGGTTTAATGGTAAAACTAATATTGAAAAACGAATTCTTACAGCTATGAGTGAGCCTACTGAGGGCGGGAAAATTATAATTTGTTGTTAATAATTCATTAATTGTTGCTAGTGCTGGTGGTCGTTTTGCTCTCTGGCCTTCAACACAAGGGCGGCTTTGTTAAAAAAAATCTTTGATAACAAAACAAGTATATAGGTTATATAAATGTGTGCCGAAATGTTTACAATGTGGTAGAAAGTTAATATGTTGTCAGACATTTGAGCTTCTAGCTTGTTTGCTAGTCGCGCCATTGCCTCAGGGCTACCTATCTTCTCTGCTTAGTTTGAGATAAAACCCTTACCAAAGGCGTCCATGGTGTAGCTTTAGGTGAGGTTAAACTAGCAGTTTACTATATAACGTTAGTGTGACAGTGGCTCAAGCAAACGTGCACAGAAAGCTAGGTATCCTAGCTAAATGATGTCCTCCCTTGATGATACAAATGTGACTGGTAAATATGCTGCTGTTTTAACCTCCTCCACTTGGCTACAACAATGACAGAGACAATAGTTGCCAGAGAAATTTCACTGGGTGCACTGGAATTAACTGATGCATATATTATGATCAGCCCTGACTCCGCAGGTGTTTATCTGAAGGGAACAGCAGCATCACGCGCGCCCCGCCAACTCCTCGTTAAGCACGTGTTTTAATCAGCGTTTCGTCGCGTGGCCCCGAAGGCTCCTCGGTGCGCGCCCGGTCAGTACTGTCAACAGTGACTGACTAAGCTCCTCTGTGTTGTTACTGTTACTGTATGTCCACGTGGTCACCTACAGGGAGCCACTAAGCATCACTGCGGGGTGTCCGACCAGCCCACACCGATCACCGCTATCAGATAAAGACTAACAGGCATGCTTAGATTTACATTAAGATAATGCAGTCGGCAGCGGGATACACACAGCACACGAGGCTGTGAGTGTGGCCACACGGCTAATTGCTTTGGGTGAGAAAAACAGCACTTTCACTTGGTGTGAATACACATTTTGATTTACATCCACGAGACAAGCTCGGTTGCACAAGGCTACTGCGATCTGTGATTGCTCTATTGTCAGGGCCATAAATAAAAGTCTTAATATTTTGCTTCTGGCCAAACATTATCGATGTCATCCATAAATACCATACCATGCACGCAACTTTGACCTGTTTGATATGGGTTTTGCCACTTGCAGTTCTGCAAACATGTAAAAGTGGGTCTTAATTTGATGCATCACAACCATATGAAAAGAGACAACCTACCACCTGCGATCAGTGGATCCCTCCTCACTTCAGCGTTTGCAAAATGGAAAAATAAGATAACCTCTAACATTAAGTATGCAGACAGCAAAATTAAAAAGTTGTGTCTGTACTTGAGAGCTGTAATACTCTCACAAAACTTTCCCACTTAAAAAAACCTCATGCACAAACAGGGCAGAGGGGGAAACCTAATGGTCTAATAATGACATAACTGACTTAAAGCTGCTATATGCGGTGGGGGTTCTATAGGCTTCGTGACGAGAGAGAGAGAGTGAGAGAGGTTGTATCTGCTGGAAGGGTTAAAGTCATCAGTAAATTATGGAGCGGAGTCCAGCCATCTGGAGCTAGGGGGGATCACACGTCGGGATGCGGGGGCTAAAACTCGCCCCTGTGCTGGTCAAAGATGCGGATCTAAAACATTCTTCATAATGCCTTAATGACACTTTGAACAGCCTTGAGGTTAAACGAAAACTGGGTTGTAAACAGGCTCCCGTGATAGTTTTTAAACCAGATATGGTCACATCAGGAGGGGGGTAGGGATCAGGGGCTTTTAGGTCTGAAGCCCCTTCACCCTCCAGGACATATTTGGCTTGCTCTGTTGAGATAATGAGGAGCAGCGGCCCCAGCTGACAAAGTCTTGCTATCTTGGCTGCCTTTTATCACAAGCGAGGGTCACTCTTATCCTCAGCTGCAGAAAGGGAGTTATGTAGGACTGTGGTGGCGAAAAAGATGGATGGTTTGGATAAAGACATGATTCAGATC